GCATAACGCCACAGGGGTTCAGAACGCCAGCGCTGCTTTGATTTATGAGAGCATCAGTGCTCGAACTCATAATGGAGCCACTGCTGGTGGTGCTCAAAACTGTACCTTTGGGTGGGCTTAAGATGGTAACATTGGATGTTGTGGCGGCTGCACTTGTGCCAATACTGTTGACACTTGGACTGATGCTGCTGTTGCTGTTGTTGACACTGCCACCGGGATTGATGATGATACTGCCACTGCTGGTGCTGGTAGCAGCTAGGTTGAGAATACTGGCGGGACTGGTGAGACAGGCGCCCACGGGGTTAATGGAAGAGGATGAGGAAGAGGAGCCCACCTGGTGACCGCACTGGAACGAAAGAGGATATAAAAGGATTCGTTAACATTGGCTAACTTTCCAGAACACACATGGGAGCTTTGTGCTTTCCACTTCAAGCACGCATTCCTCCACATCTATTGTTCCCGCCCTCCAACCAGTATTACTCCCAGTTTTATCTTTTGTTCCTAGTTTCCTCTTCTGATGTCCCTAGTTTCCTCTTCTATTGTCCCTAGTTTCCTCGTCTGTTGTCCCTACTTTACTCTTCTATTCTCATTGCACATCCCATCTCTTATATTACCCCTAACCTTTTCTGTTCCCCCTACTCTTCTCATCTGTTAACCCTATCTCTTCTGTTGTCCCTACCCTTCCCTTCCATTTCTCATACCCTTTGTGCTTCTCCTAACCTCTTCCATTGTTGTTCTTACCTATTCCTTCTATTGATCTTACCTTCCCTCATTATTGTTACTAATTCTTCTCTCGCTTCCATTTAGGTGCCTCTGCTATCAATGGTTTTACCAACTGACGCCACTACTCACGTCACTGCCGGTGAAGGGCTCTTGATCCAAAGAATTGGGCTTGTCCTCCTCTTGGATCGAACCGGAATCTCTCCCATTCTCCAGGTGCTATATGACATTTACATGTTTAGCTCTTCCCTCCCCCCTTCCTTGATTATAATAAATTATAGATTCTACTACCTGCAGTTTCCATAAATTGTTCCCTCCTCTTATACTCTCAACCAAATCTTCAAAACAATATGAAGTTCAGTGAGGAGAAATTTCAACTACTCAGATATGGAAACCTTGAGGAAATTAAAATTGTATCAGGGTATACGACAAATTCTAACCATACAATAGGGAGAAAAAGTAATGTGAATGACCTGGGAGTGATAATGTCAGAGGCTCTTTCCTTCAAAGACCACAACAATGTATCTACTGCATCTGCTAGGAAAATGATAAGATGGATAATGAGAACCTTCAAAACTAGGGATGCCAAGCCCATGATGATTCTCTTCAAATCGCTTGTTCTCCCTGGGCTGGAATACTGCTGTGCACTTACGGGCCCCTTTAAGGCTGGTGACATTGCAGACCTGGAGAGTGTACAAAGAACTTTCATGGCATACATAAGTGCAATGAGGCACCTAAATTACTGGGAATGGTTGAAGGTCCTTGATCTGTATTCCCTGGAATGCAGGCAAGAGAGATGCATGATGATATATATACACTTTGGAGGTCCTGGAGGGATTGGTACCAAACCTGCACACGAAAATCACTCCCTATAAAAGCAAAAGACTCGGCAGGAGATGCAATATTCCCCCAATGAAAAACAGAGGCACCACGAGTACATTGAGAGAGAACACAATGAGTGTCCGGGGCCCAAAACTGTTCAACTGCCTCCCAGAATACATAAGGGGAAATTACCAATAGATCCCTGGCTGTCTTCAAGAAGGCACTGGACAGGCACCTGAAGTCAGTACCTGACCAACCGGGCTGTGGTTCGTATGTCAATTTGTGTGTGGCCAGCAGTAACAGCCTGGTCGATCAGACCCTGATACACCATGAGGCCTGGTCTCAGACTGAGCCGCGGGGGAGTTGAACCCTGAAACCTTCTCCAGGTAAACTCCAGGTTTCCTTCCTTGCTATTGATCCCCCCTCTTCCAATGTTCCTTCTTTCTTCTGCTGTGGATCTCTTCCCCCATTGATCCTACCTTCTCACCTTTCATGGATCCATTCCGCTCCTTCATTTATTGATATTCTTCCCTTCCCCGGCTTTCTGCTGATCCTCCTCTTTCCTTCTATAGATCCACCATCCTTCCACTGATCCTTCCCTTCCTCGTATATTGCTCCCACTTTCCCTTTTCATTGCTCCACTACACTTGTCCATTGTTCTCCACAACTAGTCCCTCTTTTTCCATGACGTATGCAAATAAAACTCCCTTTTCACCTGGCTACACCATTTGAGTGCTACACACAACACTTCATCGACCATTACTTCTATTGGCGAGCTGCCAGTACAAAGAGATGAAGTTAAAACCAGTCTTTCATTGTGTAAATAAGACGCAGTTTGATTTGTGCCATTTAATTGAGAATTCGCGATAAAAAAAAAAAATGCCGCATGTTGCGTTTAATTTATATACTTGTCGGTATAGTCTGCCAGTAATGAGTAAAATACATCTGCAAGACTAATCTTTGTATTGACGTAACGTTTCGCTCTCGTTGCAAAACGAATCAGTTGAATACAGAGGTGAACACCTCCAAAATACCCTTCCACTTCTGTCACTAGTAATCACCTCTGTGTCTGACCGAGAAATACAACGCGAAACAAGCGTAACTTTCGGCAATAAGATACCACAGTGCTGCACATGTATCTTTCTCACCGATATTGCATTCCAAATATAGCATGATATTCTTTCATTATTAAATAGTCCTGCCCTCACTAGTCGTGGGTCATGTAACATGATGTGACTCTGAAGGCTTTAAACCTTTCTTACCTTGACTCACGAAATCGTAATAACACGATTGTAAAAGCAACACGAAACGGGTGGAGTTTGAACTCATTGCAAGTAAGTTTCAGGACTCGCCACGAGTTCAAACCCCTCCCGTTTCGTGGTAGATTACACTCTGGAACTATTATTAGGGAGATCAGTCTGTATCAACAGGATCCTTCTCAACGGGGAGTTCTTTGATGATGCTTAAGGCTCTTGGTCCAAGTAACTTGATCTACTTTCCCTTTCATTGGATCGAACCTGATTATCTCATTTCCTTCTAACGCTATATGGTCCCTACTGGTTTAGCGCTTCCCCATGACTATAAAAATGGTAACAATAGAACCCTCATTTCTTTCATGTAATGTTCCATCATGTCCCGTAGTTCGATTGCTAGCGCACTCATCTCCAACACTGAAATCCGTGGTTCGATCCCCGGTACGGGTGGATACAGGACCTACTATCCCTGTTCACCTAGCAGTAAAATGGGTACCTGGGTGTCAGTCGACTGGTGTGGGTCACATCCTGGGGATAAAATTGACCTAATTTGCACGAAATGTTCTGCATAACAAGGGGCTTTCTATATAGTAATATGTCATTGATGTCAGCTAGGCCAGTATACCTTGTACGTGTATTTGTAGAAATAAAGATTATTATTATTATTATTATTATTATTATTATAATTTTTATTATTATCACACTGGCCGATTCCCACCAAGGCAGGGTGGCCCGAAAAAGAAAAACTTATTATTATTATTATTATTATTATTATTATTATTATTATTATTATTATTATTATTATTATTATTATTATTATTATTATTAATAGTAATAATAATAATTAATAAAAATTCTTGATAATTAAAAAAGCGTAAAAATAAAGCGAAATATCAAATATCGTGTATTTTAAATAACAATGCACAAATAACGCATAGGCGAGAGAGACGCTTACGACGACGTTTCGGTCAGACTAGGACCATTTACAAAGTGTGACTTTGTAAATGGTCAAAATCGAACCTGAACATCATCGTAAGCTCTTCTCTCCTATGTGCGGATTATTTATGTAATGTTCCAGTCACTGTTTACCTGGAGAGAGTTTACCTGGAGAGAGTTTCGGGGGTCAACGCCCCCGCGGCCCGGTCTGTGACCAGGCCTCCTGTATTGTGACTTTTTATCCTTCTAAAACCACAGAACTGGTAGGGTTTGATCCCATGGCAGGTGAGTTCTTAAGCCACATATATTAAATCCTACACTATTTATTTTGCACTATTTAAGAGACCAAAGGAAAGGGATTTAATGAGATTTGATTGAAGGAAGGGTAAAGGTACTTAATATTCTCTGGGCTATTATCCCTTCACTTCTTGAGGGGGGAGTGTGTAACCAGTAACCAAATAACGAAGGGAAGAATGGCACTTACTGTTATGGTGCCTGGAGTGGCTGCTCCACACGTGGCAACGGATGGGTTGGCCTGTTTCCCTTCCTTCTTTCCTGTTGAAAAATGGTAGAGTTTCCTTAATATATTCACAAAAGCAAGTGTTACCTTACGATAACACCTACAAAGATAACAGCTCCTTTAACACTTTACAAAAGCAAGTGTTACCTTACGATAACACCTACAAAGATAACAGCTCCTTTAACACTTCACAAAAGCAAGTGTTACCTTACATAACACCTACAAAGATAACAGCTCCTTTAACACTTTACAAAAGCAAGTGTTACCTTACGATAACACCTACAAAGATAACAGCTCCTTTAACACTTCACAAAAGCAAGTGTTACCTTACGATAACACCTACAAAGATAACAGCTCCTTTAACACTTTACAAAAGCAAGTGTTACCTTACGATAACACCTACAAAGATAACAGCTCCTTTAACACTTCACAAAAGCAAGTGTTACCTTACGATAACACCTACAAAGATAACAGCTCCTTTAACACTTTACAAAAGCAAGTGTTACCTTACGATAACACCTACAAAGATAACAGCTCCTTTAACACTTCACAAAAGCAAGTGTTACCTTACGATAACACCTACAAAGATAACAGCTCCTTTAACACTTTACAAAAGCAAGTGTTACCTTACGATAACACCTAAAAGATAACAGCTCCTTTAACACTTCACAAAAGCAAGTGTTACCTTACGATAACACCTACAAAGATAACAGCTCCTTTAACACTTTACAAAAGCAAGTGTTACCTTACGATAACACCTACAAAGATAACAGCTCCTTTAACACTTTACAAAAGTAAGTGTTACCTTAATACATTACGAAAGTATGAGTTATATTTAAAGACTACAAAGGCAATAATTACCTTACCATGTTTCAAAGGTAAATTATACTAACCATTTTCAAAGGTAACGTATGATATGCCTTAACATATTACATGTTGGTAATATGTTAAGGTAACTCAAACGTACCTTTAATATAATTAAGGATAATAGTAACCTTAAAAAGTAAAAAATTAAAAAACTCACTTAAATAATATGCAATAACAACAACAATAATAATAATAATAATAATAATAATAATAATTATAATAATAATAATAATAACAATAAAAACTATTAATAGTAATAATGAAATATTATAATAATAATAACATTAATAACAGTATTACAGTAATAATTATAATAATAATAATAATAATAATAATAATAATAATAATAATAATAATAATAATAATAATAATAATGATAATAATAATAATAATAATAATAATAATAATAATAATAATAATAATAATAATAATAACGACAATAATCTGAAACATTTTACCAACAATATATAGATCCCAATAAAAGACAATCTGAATTTTGAACATATTTGCATATATGAATATGTATAAAGTTGGAAATTTGGGTCTGTTTTACTTGCTGTTAATGGGTGAGCCATTAGTGGACGGAGAATCGAGCCTCCACCACTCCTGGAGCTGAATGTTCCACACGAGTTTTACGCATGTCATCAAAATAATGTTGATGATCATGATGATAATGCTACTACTACTACTACTACTACTACTACTACTACTAGTACTGCTGCTGCTACTGCTACTGTTATTACTACTATTACTACTAATAAAATAATAATAATGATAATAATAATAATAAAATAATAATAATAATAAAATAATAATAATAATGATAATAATACTAATAATAATACTAATACTACTACTACTACTACAATAATAATAATAATAATAATAATAATAATAATAATAATAATAAAATATTGCTAATAATGATAATAATAATTAATAATACTAATAATAATAAAATAATAATAATATTAATAATAATGATAATAATAATAATAATAATAATAATAATAATAATAATAATAATAATAATAATAATAATAATAATAATAATAATAATGTTTAACCATGCCTCAGAGAGGAGGAAACCCCAAGAAGAAAATATCTGCGTAATACCTGCAGAAGTTGAGACGATGGTAAAAAAACAAGGGAGGAAATTAGGTGTAATAACACGATTATAACTCCGGCGGAAAGAAGAAGCTTGGTGAAGACACACTCCTTCCCGCATGGAACAATTTCCCTCCTTCACAGGACATACACGGAAATGTGTATTTCCCTCGGGCGTTTTTCAAGTACTCTTGTCTGGAGGTGGGAAAAGTCTCTTAATGACCCCCCTTAGTGGGGGTCGATAGTCTTAAACCCTCCCCCCCTCCTCGTCATTAGCCACCTAATTACCCTTGACGCAGGTGTTGAGTTCTTGATTGTAAGAATGGAAGCTACGTACTCGCTTTTCCTTAGATCGATCCTGACTTTATTCCCAGCAGGTGCTATGTGACCCCTACGGGTTACAGCGCTAACCCCCTCATTATTATTATTATTACTATTATTATTATTATTATTATTATTATTATTATTATTATTATTATTATTATTATTATTATATTATTATTATTATTATTATTATTATTATTATTATTATTATTATTATTATTATTATTATTATTATTATTATTATTATTTAGGTAAATTGCTTGTAAAAGATATAGCTTAGAAATGTTTGCTTTGTTTTTGTTTGTTTTTGTGTAAGAAAATATTTTTAATATCTTTGGATGATATCCTGTATAGCCCTTGTGGTTTAGCGCTTCTTTTTTATTATAATAATAATAATTTGGATGATATCTTGATTATCTTGTTACGAGGAATTAGAGCTAGTTTTCCCCAGGGGCGGTTTTTTTTGAAGCTGGTTAGGGGCTCTTGATCTGAGGAATTGGTCTTATTCTCCCCTTTCTTGGATGGAAACTTATTGTCTCGCGTTCCCCAGAAGCTGTGTAACCCCTACGGATTTAATGCTTGCCAATAATTATAGTAGCAACAACAAAAATTATTATAATAATAAATAAAAAATAATTAAAATAATAATAATAATAATAATAATAATAATAATAATAATAATAATAATAATAATAATAATAATAATAATAATAATAACATAATTGCAATAATAAAAATGATATATTAAGCACTCACCAGTCTTGACAAGAATGAGGTCAGGTCCACGATGGACTTGATCGAAGTCACCAGTGTGGTCACAGCTCTTGGCGTGGGTAGTGGCTGCCTTGTCGTACATGATTCCTGGCTGGTTGTGGGCGTGTCGGTGCCGCCCACGCACCACCAGCACCACCACCACCGAGCAGATTACTAGGGAACCCACAGTGCCCACCA